TAACACATTGTGAAAATGACAGAGAAGAGACTCTCACGTGCTGTCCTTTAAACCCTCAGAACCACGCCCATGACCACCATTATTAATCCATTCATTAGGGCATGGTCCTCAGAATCCCATCACCTCTTCAAGGTCCCCAGTTACCATAATAAGATTTCCCACCCTCTTAACACTGTCATCATGTGGACCAAGCCTCCAATGCATTAAATTTTGGGGGGACACAATTCAATCCACTGCAAACATTATTCATTGCTTATCTAAATTCAGACTTGGAGTCCTATAATTTTATTTGTTAAACATGATAGCCTTAGCACAGAGAGGTAAAGAAACTGGCTGACAGTCACCCAACTATTGGGGGAGAGACAGCATTTAAATCCAGACAATCTGACTCCAAGGGTGAGTCCTCAATTTACCTATTCTGCCACCTCTGTCACCTCCGGTCCTTCTGTCCAGCTCCTCTGTTGTGTTGGGCCTAGCCTCTGCACTGAGAAGTATGACTCAACCACCTTTCTAGATGGCCCTGGCTGTCCGCTGTGCCAGATCTTTAGACACACTCTTTGTGCCTTTCAGAAGCATAATCAATTCATTCCATTAAAATCCATTATTTCAACACTATGTATTGAGCACCTGCTATGTACAACCCTCTCTGCTAACATAGCTCTGGCTAACAGACTAATTCCAAAAAGGGTTGGAGCAGTCTCCGTAAGTCCCTCTCCTTCTAGATACTTCCATCCAATATGACCCTGATTGAGGTTCTCCAGGCATGTTACACAGCCATTTTTAGTGGGGTGTCTGGAGATCATGTCTCCATGTTTGTTCTCTATGCCAGGTGAGTGGCTAATGGGGATTCCCAAGCTGGGTAGGATGGGAGGGCAAGGCTGTGGGGGCAGACAGGAGTGAGTCTGGGGCCCCATGAAGGGCCTCTCATTCTCAGCCCACAACTGCTCCTGCATGAGACCTTTCCCTGCCCCCACCCCCACAGGTACTACTTCCCATGTCAACGCTGGCTGGCTGTGGAAGAGGACGATGGCCAGCTGTCCAGAGAGCTGCTGGCAGTGGATGAGTCCTATGTGCTGCCAACAAGCGAGGACGAGGAGGGTGGCGGAGGTGGTGACAGCAACCCCCTCGACAACCTGGCCTTGGAGCAGAAAGGTTTCCTAAACTTGAGCTGATTTCTTCCTTCCAGCATCACTCCCCTCTGCCTCTCCCCCACCTCCCTCCCCTGCGAGCTCTGGGCACTTCCTCCTCTGACAATCTCTCTGTACTTTCCTCCTTGTCAAGAATGAGGAGGTCATGGGGGCATATTTCCAAGTGTTTAGCATAAGGCTGAGTATAAAGTACATAACTTAAGACAGAATTATTGTCATGAATTGCATGGAATAGAATAGAATAGAATAGCTGTAGC